ATAAACATCAGCCAATAGATAGCGAGGCTCCCTCATTATTTATTGGCTGTTAAGTTGTCAGTCAGACTCCCTACGTTTCTAGTGTAACTGAGTCGCCGGCGTGTGGGGATTACGTGGTTTATGCAGCGGTTCTTAGAGGCTTTTTCAAACTGCAGCTTCCTCGCAGTTCGCACAAAGTTTGTCGCGACGGCGGACGAGAATCCACGACCAGTTCGCCGCAAAAGAAAGTCCGTTTTCGAGGAAGAAGAAGAGAAGGAGAAAAGGAGCGAAGACAAACTGAGGTGATTCTTGGAGATTCCTTCCAGAGAGACAAAGGGTCTAAAAACTGACGCGTCGGTCGCTAAATTACTTCTAGACGGGTCACTTCAACAGTAATTCTGAACGCGCACTGACTGTAAACAAGCGTGATTTCTGGAGTAACGAGGCGGGAGGAGATGTTTCTACTGAGGAGCTGTGGAGGAGGAAGGTGGTGTCACACTTGCACAACATTTGAAAAAGGACTGTATTTTCACTTCCCTTAAAAAATCCTCTATACAACCTTTAATGAGTGACATACTGAAAAGATAAATACGTTGAGGTGATACTTTGATAGATGACAATTTACACAGTGCAAGGTTTATTTTTTAAAGGTTGTATAGAGGATTTTTTTAAGGGAAGAGAAATACAGCGACAGTCCTTGTGCGCGTTCAGAATTACTGTTGAAGTTTCCTGTCTAGAGGTAATTTAGTGACCGATGCGTCAGTTTTTAGACCCTTCGTCTGTTTCAGTCGCACCATCGGTGGAAGGAATCTCCAAGAATCACCTCAGTTTGTCTTCGCTCCTTTTCTCCTTCTCTTCTTCTTTCAGCGACCTCAAAAACGGACTTTCTTTTGCGGCGAACCGGTCGTGGATTCTCGTCCGCCATCGTGACAAACTTTGTGCGAAATGCGAGGAAACTACAGTTTGAAAAAGCCACTAAGAACCGCTGCATAAACCACATAATCCCCGCGCGCCGACGACTCAGTTACACTAGGGAGTTTGATTGACAACCTGACAGCCAATAGAAAATGAGGGGAGCCTCGTTTTCTATTGGCTGATGTTTATCTGTCCTCACTACGTCCACAGTTGATAGATTTTCATTCTTTTTTTTTTTTGGTCATCATAATTACAAAGCTGCTGCGTCTCTGTAATGGTATTTTAAAACTTTCACTGACAATTTGAAACAAAAAAAAAATCCTCCATACAACCTTTAAGAGTAAAGATTGACTTTTTGTCTTGGTCAGTGATTGGCTGAAAGCACTTTAAATAATTTGACGCGTTACATAAGAATAATTCGACAAATATCAACAATTTGACCTAAACCGGACCTAAACTAAACAATGGAGGCACCTCTACATATGTCATTCCTGCTGTCCGTGTGCATCCAGGAGGAACATCCATCCAAACTTTCACCAAAATGACAAAACTGGGGCAGAATTTTGTGGTGAAGTGAAAAGTGAAAAGTGTCAATTGAGAAACACATTTTAAACTGAGTCAGCTCCGATAAATCAACATAAATCATGATTAACAAAGTTTTCAGTCAGAGATCAGCAGATTCTGGATTAATGAAAGAAAGATGCTCCTCCATGTCACAACGGAGAGAGAGAAAGGAGAGAAGGATGGAGAGAAGGAGGTAAAGAAGGAGGGAGGGAGGAGGGAGGAGCGGTGAATTCTTAAATAAATTATGACACACATCAGTCATATTTTAATGTCGCAATCGGAATGACTTTTGTTTTTGAGTATTTTGCAAACTTTTATTCATTTTGTTCCTCTCGTCCCGGGGTCAGGAGGTCACGAGGACAGACTTCCCTCTTCCCAGACACTTCCTCCAGCACCAACAACACCTAAGACCCATAAAAGCACAAGCAGGACTAAAACAGGACTAAAACAGGACTGAACCAGGACTAAAACAGATCTAAAACAGGACTAAATCAGGACTGAACCAGGTTTAAACAAGGACTAAAAGAGGACTAAAACAGGACTGAACCAGGTCTAAAACAGGTCTAAATCAGGTATAAAACAGGACTAAACCAGGACTAAAACAGGTCTAAAACTGGTCTAAAACAGGACTAAAACAGGATTGAACCAGGACTAAAACAGATCTAAAACTAGGACTAAACCAGGACTAAACAAGAACTAAACCAGAACTAAAACAGGACTAAACCAGGAATAATCCAGGACTAAACTAGGTCTAAAACAGGACTAAAACCAGGTCTAAAACTGGTCTAAAACAGGACTAAAAGGATTGAAACCAGGACTAAAAAAGATCTAAAACTAGGACTAAACCAGGTCTAAACAAGGACTAAACCAGGAATAAACCAGGACTAAACTAGCTCTAAAATAGGACTAAATCAGGACTGAACCAGGACTAAAACAGATCTAAAACTAGGACTAAATCAGGGACTGAACCAGGACTAACCAGGACCATCCACATCAGTGCTGCTCTGTTCAAGCAGTAAAACGACCAAACCAAACCAAGTCAGAATTAGAAAATATATTCATCTGCCAAACACACA